CCCAGAATTCTGTGTGAGCAGCTCCCTCTTTCCTGGCAACCTGAGCCACTTTGGTGTCCTCAGACTTTCAGCTTCCTCTCCTTCAACCAGAGAGACCACTGGGATCCCTGCGCCACTCCCTGGGAACTCAGCGTAGTAAGTAAGCTGTGGCAATCAGAGAACTCACACTGTGTTTTCTGTTTCTCAGGGATCACTATCCTTCATACTGTGACTGCCAATGCCTTTTTAAAAATGAAGGTGGCACAGGCAGTCAAAACATATAGAGAAGGTGCTACAGAGGTCTAGCAGAGGGCAAGATTACTTCTGTAACTGGACATGGATGGGAACGGTAATCAAGTGAGAGGAGAGGGTGCCTCATGAGGAACAATGGCAAATAAGTAAGCTGAGGGGAGACTAAGAAGATAATGGGGCTACTCCATATGGAAGGACTAGTATGAGCTGCGTAACAGAGACAAGAAAACATAGGTATGAACAGAGACAAATTATTCGGTTTAGGAGACAGTGTGGGGAGAAAGGAAGACAAAGCTCAAAGGGCTGGTTGGAATCAGACTACAGGGGTCTGTAAAAGACTGTCAAGGAGTTAAATCTTATTGCAGTGATTCCCTGGCTGTGCACCTACATAATATGTGGACCTTTTAAGGAATATGTGTGCTTGATTCCCAGGTCCAAAAATGTAGTAGATCTAAAGCAGGGGAACAAAAGGTATGGTTTGTCTGGAGTTTAAAACAGTAGAAAAACAAGGTTAAAAGGTGGGAAAGTGATATGAAAATAAGGACAAGTTACGGTGCTCCAGATAAAGGTACAAAACAGATTTACCAGGAGAAAAGGAACAATAAGGAAGAAGAGGCTGTGATGAGAGAGAAATGCCAGAGTTCAGGATTTTAGATGAGGATCAGTTTCAAATCAGGATAGGGTCAAGATGTAGCATGAATGTAGAGGTGAAAAATGTAATGAAACTGGGCAAACTGAGGACATGCAAAAAGCTCTAATTCATAACCAGCATGGCATTTCATCCAAGTTGAATAGTAAAGAGTATTTTCAACAATTGTGTAATTTACCTTGATCACTGAATGTGATAGAGCAAGGATTCTCAAAATGCAGTTTTGAAACCACCAATAAACTAATGGATTAATCTCTGATTATTATTTATAGAACAAAAATGTCTTTTTACATGCATTTCAAGACACTGACATTTAATTAAGAAGAAGACAGTACCTTGTTAGTGACAATCAAATACAATTTTGTCTTTCTACTAGTTCTGCTGAGTTTTTCTAGATGCAGTTGGGAGCAGACAAAAGAATCATCCTACTGGTTCTCAGTTATCAAAATCATTCAGGGAGAGTTAATAACATCCCCCGGAACCACTACTATACTGCACCCTGCTGACATTTCATTTGGTCTAAAAGTTTACAAAACAACATTTTCCTCTGATATTTTCCTCTGATAATAGGGTAGCTTTCCCTCCAATAACGTACTCCATATTCTACCAAGTAAAAGTCTGAGGACAGCTGCTGGATTTTATAGTCAAGCAAGTTAAGTTTCCAGGGAGAGATGAAGAGAGGAGGAGACGAGGAGACGGGGTGGGGGAGAAGAGATGGGGAGGCAGGTGCAGAAGTGGAGGAGAAGGCAGTTCATCTGCTCTCAGAAAGAGGAAATATCAGCCACCTGTCAGCTATGATTTTCAGACACTTCCATTCACACCATGCAGCACTTCTGTCCCTCGCTGATCCAGCCCTATATTCGCAATAGCAGCACAGGAGACTCACTTTAAGGCAATAGGCAAGGCATGCTCAGGGTTCATTATATTTGCTCTGAGACTTAGGATTCTGGCCATGAGTTTATCAAGTAAAATGCAGCCCAACCTAACATACTATCAATTTGCATAGCTGTGCGACAGCAAAAGCACAAGACCGTATGGACGATGTTTAGATAGATCTTTGTACTACTGCTTCTACTAAGCACCAGTGAATG